CAGAAGAGAAGCCTCGCCACAGCCCGTTGCCAGCTGCGGGAACCCCAAGTACAGTGGTCTGACGGAAGTCAAAAGCGTCCTGATGGGGCCACTATGCTACCCTGGAAAAATGGTAAGCTTGGGACTACACCTGTGCCATACTCCGAAGTTGAAGGGGGTGGAGTTGCCAGCCACAGGGAGACCCAGAAGACCCACAAATATGAAGGCCTTCCCCTTGCTATAACTTCATCCCAATACGGTCGGTGACCCTTTGAGCATGGGGGAAGTGTGCTCTAAAGTTCTTCAAACAGCTGGGTGAAAAACATCATAGACACCAAGGATCACAGGTCGGTCAGCTTCCTCTTTCAGAGACTCAGGGTTGCAATCCAGAGGGAAAACGCCTGCAGCATTCTGGGTACGCGGCCCACCGCCGGGGAGCTGGACGAAGTACGTATTCGAGATGTAGCTCTGAGATGTCATCCATGTTGTTCTACTCCTTATTGTATTTTTGTCAACGTATTTTGTTGTTTAAAGAAAGTCTACATAGAATATAGGGGGTGGTAGGAGAAGGCAATATTCAAACAGCTCCAGGAAGAACCTTGAATTTTCCCTGAAGCAAGTTTATTCTTTTCTCTGAGGATGAGAGTCCCCAGCACAGTTCCAGAGGTGGTACCTCCCTATATTATATTATAATTATACGGCAGCTGCTAGCTTCATAAGTCTCAAAAGTCTACAAAATATAATGAACTTGTCCATCATTATATGTTTGTTCCCATAGGCTCAGAGACCCTTGGCCTATATGGAAAGAGTGCATCCAAGTTCCTTAACCCTTAAACTGTCCAAACGTAGATCTACGTTTTTTCAACATTTGAAAGTATGTAAAAAAAGTAGTTTTTTTTTTTTTTTACATTTGAAAATGTATAAAAAACTTTGATTTACTTTTTTTGTTATATTTGAAAATATGTAAAAAAAAAGTAGATCTACTTTTGGAGCACTACGCATGTGAACGTAGATCTGCTTGGACAGTTTAAACACAGCATTGGAAAATAAGGAATATCCACTAGGAATTTTTATTGACCTAAGAAAAGCTTTTGACACAGTAGACCACGACATCCTACTCCACAAACTTGACCATTACGGTATAAGAGGCCATGCGCTTGCTTATTTCAAATCTTACTTACTAATAGGTATCAGTATGTTACCAAGGAGCTAGGCAAGACTCTTCAGGGCAGCAAGTTTTCCATTCCAGCAACTCAATGTTGCAGTTAGTGGGGTAATGCCTGTTTTACCTCATCCAGCTCCTCAAGAGCTGGATGGGATTTTTACATTGTAATATTTGACAAAAAATTAGCATTATGTACTTGTAGTGTATCCCTCAAACTTCATGTACTGAATATGCCATCTTTGAACCATCAATGTGTGGTTTAAGCTTTGTGTACGATATTACGTAATAAAATATACCTATTGGTAAAATAATTACATGTAGTGGTAGGGTAAGTAGAATATTCAAACGGATTCAGGAAGATAACCAAATATTTTTGCTGTAAAATAAGTGTATAAATGGCACCCAAGACGTGAAGGAAAACTAACAGCAGTTATAAGAAAGGATCGAAAAGTAGCTCACTCTTTTCTGTCAGTGTGACTTGTGAATGGTCCAAGTCAGACCGAAACGTCGTCATAAGCTTTTCTCTCCTCTCTCTCTCTCTCTCTCTCTCTCTCTCTCTCTCTCTCTCTCTCCTATGTACGGGTTATTTGTGTATTGTTGTAGTCACATTATTGTGCCTTTTTGTTCTTCAGCCCCTTTGATAGGCAAGCCTCAAAAAATTGCAAATTTTGAAATGCATTTCCTGTGTGTCGATAGTGTGTCTCAATGTAAGGTAAATGAGCCCATAGAAATGAAAATGTGAAAGTTTGTTTTTGATCAATTGCCAATATGCGAAGACCGACAAAAGTAGGTCTTGCCTACCAAAGGGTGAACATATGTTAATGTTGCAAATTTGCAATTGCTAATAACACCAATTAACTATTTTTTAATTTTATTATACAAAAAGACATTATCAAAAACATAAATTGAACTTTTCAAACATTTTGTAAGTATTAAAAAAATACAAAATTGAACCAAGTAGCAACATGGACACATTGCAAAGGGATATAACTTTCAATTCCCATATTCCTGAGTTTCCTGAGAAAGAACAGTTATTCTAGATCACTAATTTTCAGAATGAAACTTCAGGAAGCAATTTCTATCCTTCTTGACGCATAGATTTACTTTGCATATGGCACAGGAAAATGAGGATGTGACATGTTGTTTGTGTGTGCTGAAAAACTTGCATGTAAGTAGCTTGCCTGACATTGGCCAGTGACCCAGGGTTTGGTCAAACCTCACACTGTCATCTGACCTTTCTGCACGTTGGTACTGCACTGCAAATGGCAATTGCAAGGATGGTAAATCCTCATTACTGTCACCATTGGAAGTACTTGATGAAGCTCTTGGACTTCTTGAACTTGTTCTTATGGTGCTGCTGCATCTCAACGTTTGTCCTTTGGATCTTGCAGTGATAGAGATGTCAAGCCTGAATAGCTTCAGTGGCATGCATTTGGTTTTTAGTGACCGACAATCACGACAGTAAAGAAGCTATGCATTCACAACATGCAAGATCCATAACATAGGCAAACAGCTGCATGTACCAACGTTTGGATTTCATAGGTGTTTTGCACAGATGCACCATGTTACTTTTGTCCAGATGCACCAACATGTTACTTTTGTCAATACCTCCCATGTGTGCATTATAATTCTTGATTACTGCAGGGCACTGGAACTCGTTTTCCATCTTTGTTTCCTTGTTATATCTTTCAATAGGAGTCACAGGATTAACCCATACATCATTTGAAAAGTGCTGTGTATGTTTTTTTTGCCTGGCATACAAATTAGTTTGGAATGTGATGTGGTCTATCATGTCTTGAATAAAAAAATCGCTAAAATAGTCATATGCACACCTAATTGTAAGAGGCTTTTCATGTTCGTATTCAGGCAAAGGGTCATTGTGGATGTCAACCCTGTTCCAGCTGGTCTGAGTTTGAGAAGCAAGCTCATCATGATGATCTTCTTCATCAGGGTACTCCACGATCACAATACCTTTCTTTTTCTTGTCCAATTTTGGCTTTTTGGCTTTTTTCCTCCTCCTCATAAGTTGACACCTCTGCATCCTGTGGCAAGTACTCATCACCACTGTCAAGCAATTCCAGATCATCTGCCTCTGCATCAGAGTCACCTTCCTCCAAAATGCAGAGATAGTTGGACTTGTCTTTGGAGGACTCGCCATAAAACAGCTTCTCAAGCTAGAAGTGTTTACATTTTGGTCTCTCAACCAGTGAGCAGAAGCCATCACCACTTACCTGGAGCGACTCAGGGAAGGGTTGTGATTGGTCAGAAATAGAGAATGGGAACCCAGATATGTAGTGGGTGTAGGAGGAATGCGCCAAATATCATGCTTTCAATAACGACAAATGTCGTTCCTGCCTAAAAAAGGGTTAACTCTCAGTCTGAGGTCTTGTCACTTGCCCCAGCCACGGTAATACCGATTTTATACTGATTTAAAGTACAGCGTAAGAATCCTCGGTCTTAATCTTGTAATACCCTTAAGGAACATATGAGAGAGAGAGAGAGAGAGAGAGAGAGAGAGAGAGAGAGAGAGAGAGAGAGAGAGAGAGAGAGAGAGAGAGAGAGAGAGAAGATTCATCACCTCCATCTTCAATTACATTTAAACTACTACAACATTTCTCCTCTCCACAAACCTACGACGATACGCTACAAAAAAAATTTTTGACAAGCCGAGTTTATTACACAATCAAAATCAATTTCACCTGTTCTCTGGCGCGTGAAACGAAGCGAAAGTACAACCGTGAAAAACAGAAAATGAAGCGTATCTTTTTTCCTCATTATAAAACATATGATGAGTAAACTAGGCGTGAAAACAGCGTGAGTGAGAGAGAAGAGTGGAAGCACCTTTCAGCTGAGCTCCAGTATATAAGACAACAGTCATCGCTGAAACGTCAGTCATCTTCCAACGTCTCCAGTACTATCAACACCCTCAACTTACATGTTCTCAAAGGTGCTACTCTCGCATTTTTTTTTTTAATAATTCATGTCAAGCGCTAAACCTATGTGGGTCATTCAGCGCAAGACGTGGTGGAGGCTGTCTGCTTAGCGCAAGACGTGGTGGAGGCTGTCTATTTGTACTCGCAAAAAAAAAAAAAAAAATTTAGACTAACCGCATTATGCAGATACTTTTCCCAAACAGTGTTGTTTCCAGAAGGTTTGAAGTTTTTTTTTTAACACAAGCATTTTCACCCAGGATATGACTTGCAGCAGGACTAAACTTTCACACATTTGCATTTATTTTCTCTAGGATGCGACCTGCAACAGTCGACTAACACCCGGCCACCTACTTTTACTGCTAGGTCGAGCAAGGAAACTTGCCCGTATGGTTTACAGGGCCTATAAAACGACTAACTTACGTAAAGAAAAGACCGTTGGGGGGTTGAACTTAGAAGATGGGATAGAGCAAGAACAGATTTTGTGAGAGGAGTGTTACTAAGAGGGGAGAAAATAGCTATAAAACGAACCTGGAGCAATTCTGTTGTGAACCGAAAGTTCATATTACTGACCTATGGGTCATTCCTACTGTCCTATAACATTTAATTATTCTTTGTGCTACCAAAGGTATAGAAGAGTGGCCACAGAAAATCCAATTTTCACTTAAAAATCCCATAAAATATACAATAAAATAATCTGCATTCCTCAGTTGAATTTTTTTTTATCGTTATTACTAGATATGTTTAACTTGTGAGCAAATGCAAGAGAATAAACCCCTAAAATTAACATCCTGCAATTTAAAATATTGATATGTCCTTGATATTCATAATAAATTGTTTCATTTATTTCTAATATCTAAGAAGCCATCATTTCTCGCACACGTGTTACTACGCATTATTGCAATAAATGCAATTTTTCCAGGTGGTGGTTGTTTTAGCAGTGGTGGTGATGGCAACACAGAGTCGAGCTCACCCAGAAGTTTATGAACCAGTCTACAAGCCCGTAAGTCTGATCAATGAAATACCTCAAATGCTTTAATAACTGGTAGGGATTACCATAACTTACCTTAATTACATAGTGCCAAAATAAACATACAGCATTATACTGAAATACTTTAAATCAAGCCCTCCAATACTAAAGATGGAAAGGTTAGAGGAGGCATATTCAATTTAGAAAGACTGACTTATGTTGACGTTACTCCACGATTTTAATCTTATAAAGATGCTAAAAACTATCTGCTTGCAACCATTCAACGCAGATAACAAAAGAACAGTTGGTAGGTACGGATATTACAAGCATTTCAACTACTTCATTAACCTACTAAACAAAAATAAATAAAGCTCCAATAAACGTACAATGATGCGTACTATAGTTACATAGAAGCTTTACAATTTATCAAAGATTGGGTACAACTGAAAATTTTCGATAAAATTGCAAGGAATAGCTGTTCAATATAGATTTTTTTTAAATAAAAGTTCCAAAAACAATACCGCTTTTGTTAGTTGTCATATCTGAAAAAAATCGTATAACCAAGAATTAGTAGAAGTTAATTTTAAAAGAAATACCTCCATATAATGACATATATCAAATTTCTTCATACTGTAACCAGGAGCCGCTGCCCTACTACTACAACTACGATGTATATGACGACTACAAGGGCGCCAAGTACGGTCACAGTGAGAAGTCAGACGGTAAAGCTGTGTCCGGCTCCTACACCGTAGACCTCCCTGACGGTCGTAAACAAAGGGTATAATGAACTTAAAAATATTAAATCTGTTTCAAGTCCTTGCACTAATTATCTGTAAATAGATGAAAACCTATTTTTATATATACATTTATGCACTTGCGTATTTCTTTCTAAAGGTAACACAGATTTTCCCTCCTATGACGCAAATTGATGGGCATAGATTCTCTCATCGACAAATTTTATCTAGGATGATTCCCGCTTTCCCGCCTCTCCTTTGATGTTTCCTATTGCCCCATTTCATCTCATTTAATTGATTTCACAAAGCCTTAGTAGTATATAGTCACTCAGTATACTAAGGCAATGTACCTCATTAATGATACCTATATATTAACATACCTATTTCCTCGTTGTCTATCCAATAAAACTTCTTCCAAATATTCTCTTTTCAACTTGCTCAAGAGAACGTTAATAGTTTCAATACATTTATCGCCTTAATACTCTTATTCACATCTTGAATCAAATGTTTAAGCACGTTTAATCATCAGTAAGGGTTCTAGAAGATTTGTTCATAATGTGATCGTCTCTCATACGTTTGGTGTATCCCGCTTCCCTATGAAACTAAATCCTGCCTTACAGCTCCTCATACTTCAAAAGATTTAGCCAGGAAAGCAGTAAATGAAAATACTAGAGTACACAGGAACAAGCTTAGAGAACACCACAGTTACTGAAGCAGAATACTATCAATAACAACGCAACGATATCTATCATTAAATTAAGCACATTATTAATTTGCAGAATGGTGGAAGCTTTTTTGGATAGTTATCCTATGGACATCAGTTGGTATTTTTACTTTGTCACTGCGTAAGCATAAAATGAGTGGCAATTTTGCATGTGCAATGTACATCATAATACTTTGTATAGTGATGCTCACATTACAGTATACTCCATATTTTATCCTTACCATAATTACTCCTCCAGTACGCAACGCATCTTGTGTTCGTGGCGCATTTATATATTCGCTACTAAGGATGTGAAAATTATACATATCCACCTGCACATAAACACAAACCAGCTTGACTCATGATTCTTCTGCCTCAGGTGGACTACACAGCTGACCATTATAAGGGATACGTCGCCAAGGTCAGTTACTACGGCAAGGCTCAGCACCCTAAACACTACGGCCCCGCCGTTACTTTCAGACATAAAGGCTATGGCGATGGATACCATGGATAACACATCCATGCTTACTCATAGCTGTTCCCAGGGATCATCGCCTCCGCGTCCCGGTCATCGACCATCTTTAATATTTTGTTATAAAATGTACTTTTTTTATGTGAAATAAAGCTGTTCTCTCCATACGTTGTATTTTATACATAGTATACAAGAACACGTTTTCCGATCGGCTTCAAATTCCTCAGCCCAGGTAAACTGTTACTAGGTGAAGGTTAGTGTAACAGTTGTCATATGCAGGTGCATTCTGTTCAGTTTTAAATAGACTATTCCCGAAAACGTTGATTACGTCTCCGCAAATATTACTCGCTTATACACTTGATATACCTTTGAAGAGTTTCGAGAGTTTAATTACTCTCGGAGCCCAGCCATGGGCCGGGCATACAAAATAACCTACAAACAGCTGCACAACATAATTATACAACAACGGTAAATAAAAAATAACCATTTCTGTGTTAACTAAAAATAAAAGAAAACATATATATATATATATATACATATGTCGTGCCGAATAGGCAGAACTTGCGATCTTGGCTTAAATAGCAACGCTCATCTTGCCATATAGGACAAATGAAAATTTGTGTATGCAATAATTTCGACAAAATCATTCTGAACCTAACGAAAAAAATATATTTCACTGTGTGTGTTTAGTATTAAATTATTGTAAACAAATCTAAAATATATTTAGTTGGGTTAGGGTAAAATAAATTGTTCTTGTTATAATAAGGTTAGGTAAGTTTTCTAAGTTCCTTTTGGTGCAAAATTATAAATTTTTACATCAACATTAATGAAAAAAATTTATTTTTAAACGTATAAGAGAAAATTTTAGAAATGACTTAATTTTAAATGAGTTCTTGCTAATTGACCAGTTTTACATATTCGGCACGACATATATATATATATATATATATATATATATATAATAATATATATATATATATATATATATATATATATATATATATATATACATATATATATATATACACACACATACATACACACACACACAGAGGTATGAGGTATGATAAAGCTCACGGCTCAGGGAGAGTGACCTAGTAGCGATCAGTGAAGAGGCGGGGCCAGGAGCTCGGACTCGACCCCCGCAACCTCAACTAGGTGAGTACACACACACACATACATACATACACATACACACACACATACATACACATACATACACACACATGCATACACACACACACACATACACACACACATACATACACACACACACACATACACATACACATACATACACAAAATTCATACTCGAAAATTTCTGGTGTCAGCACCGAGCAACACAACAATAAAGAGAGAGAACCATTTTTTTTTTTTTTTTTACCTTTTCTCATTGTTGCAGCGATGGATGGGGGGGGAGAGAGAGAGAGCGAGAGAGAGAGAGCGAGAGAGAGAGAGAGAGAGAGAGAGAGAGAGAGAGAGAGAAAAAAACTTTTTATGTCATCAGCTCTGTTGTCACTCTTTCGAAGTTATTCATTTTCGTTTTGTTTATTGCCTCAACTACTACAGTAATTTAACAAGTTTCAACAAATCTAGGTGATGAAAAATTTACTTATCAAAAATTCAGAACATGCACCAAGCTGATCACTATGCAAACTTCCTCCAATATGATTACCAGAAATTAGAGTGACTCAAACTATTAATTTTTAATGTAACATTCAGTTAACTAGCAAACGATTAGTACCGGGATGATCTCACCCGAGATATAAACTTTCTTCGTGACTTGTTAGAATAAACGCACAGGCGTAATGTTACATTATTTTTAAGCTTAAATGCCCTTCATATAAACAAACACTATTTTCGTATTGATGTAAAATTAGAACCATAAGCGTTGTAGATACAAAATATTCGATACCGAATGAGCGACGAACCATAACAGCCTCACAAATACCTCGCCAACACATTGTTCAAGTCCACCAAAAAACTCTGGCGGTCCTAATCACACACAACACTGAAACTTAATTGAAAATCCATAAATAAACCTGGGCAGGCAAGGCTACCTCAACAGCACCGGGTAATACAAATTAAGGGTGCATATTCATGCGAAATAATATGGTATGCATTCTTTTATAATTTGGCAGCATAACTAAATTGATAACATACCTCTATTAAAGCTTACAAAATATAATGTAGCTTAATCCTATGCCACCAATCGTAGGTCAGCCTCGACATACTGTAGTGTGTATTATTTAATATCAATAATAAATATTAATATCGGAATGTTCAGATCGATTTCCTAGGAGTTATATTTAAAATAAATATTAGCTTTAATTGTCTGGCAAAAAGATCGTTACTTCATAAGCCAAGTCAACAATTTCTATTCAAACAAGCACACTATTACACAAACACATTATTACCAAAATTTTTGACATTTTGTTTTCAAGTAAAGTTCACAAACATTACATATAGGGCTGGTAAAAGAAGAAAAATTCTCAAAACAGTTGGGGGAAGAAATTCGAGTTTTCCTTGAAGTACATTTATTCTCTTCTCGGAGGCTGTGGTTCCCAGCACCGTCACACTAATCACGGAGCCGAAATTCAAAACTGAAAATATTACATTTTTATTAGATTTAAGTATTCTGTCACGGTAAAAGACACGCAGGAACTGCTCCTCTAAAACTTCGTTACGCAAGTCTGACATCTCCTTTAAGAAGACCCTGATCTTTGGAATCATTATTCAGATAATAACCTCGATTTCTCAAGGGGTAAAAATCACGTGCCTGGGAACCTCCCTCGAAGAGAAGGGTGATGACGATGGATTTTTATCCTGTGCGTAATTAGAGAGAGGGGGGAGAGGGGAGTCTCCTCATTAGCGGATGCTGCCTCCAGCACCTTTATTATCTCTACTAGTTTTATTCTGCGAGATCTTAATTTATTGATTACTGAATGGCAGGGACGAGGGACTAGAAAGCTACTCACCTAACTTATATGAGAGACAAAATAATGAAGAAGCTTTGAGGTCTGTGAAATATCCTTGAAACGTCTTCCAACGTCTTTAATTAATTACATGCCCAGGCTTGTGTGTGATTATCCAGGATAAATTGCACCACACCACTGATTATTTCACTGAAACCCAGCAACATATATTATTATTATTATTAAAAAGCAAGCGTTAAACACCCCCAGCATACAGGCTATAAGGCATACAAAATACAGCAAAAGTTAACACAAGTTTCATGAATTCTAATTAAAATTCATGTTAATGTGTTTTTACGTATGTTGTTTTTAAAAACGTACGTACGTATGTCTGTATGACTGATTATATATATATATATATATATATATATATATATATATTATATATATATAATATATATTATATATATGTATACACAAAACCACAGGGGGAGTTGAATGATAGCTCTAGGTCTTTCGAGTTGCGATCAACACAACAAGAGCTTGCAATGTTACAGGACTGAGTAGAAAGTCCAGGCAGATATATATATATATATATATATATATATATATATATATAGAGAGAGAGAGAGAGAGAGAGAGAGAGAGAGAGAGAGAGAGAGAGAGAGAGAGAGAGAAGAGAGAAGAGAGAGAGAGAGAGAGAGAGAGAGCACGTGATCGTCAATTTCCATTAATAATAAGGGTACCTATACGTACATGTTATAAACAACAGGCAGCGAGTGACAATGGTCACTAGATTATGGGCTGTCACTGTGAAACCTCACTTCCAGCCTCAATATTTTGTTTCCAGGGTATTATTTTTGTCTTGGTCATGGCTCATACTCGGTGGAATGAAAAAAAAAAAATCCATATTATCAGCGATATATTGCATGGTTCGATCTTAATTATGGATGATGCTTCTTTAATGTAATTGTATTTTTAGTATTCGTTTAATTACTTTTATTGCTGTATTTTTAGTATTCGTTTAATTACTTTTATGTCCTAGTGCCCCTTCCTCTTTAAAACCCGGCCAAGGCCTAACTCCTGGGGAAGTCCTTCGCCTCTCTTGTGATTCTCTACCACGTTGCCTCCATGCTACCTGCCAATCCCTAAAGCCGCCTCCAGGCCCAATCTTACCTGCCTCTGCCTTCCCACCCCCTCCCCGGGGCTCTGGCATATAAACAGGGCGAGCAGGAGAGTAAGAAACCAGTGTGCTGCCACTGTCACTGCAGGTCACTCCTCATACACGAGCTGCCATGTTCCTTAAGGTCGCTGTTCATGCTGTCACTGATAATGTTCTTTTAGGACATCCATTTTTTTGCAATGTTATTTAGCAAGTCAAGCAACAAGTTTTAAATTTAACAGATTCATTGAATTATGTGTGATTTTGTTTTTTCTCTTTCATTTGGCATCCATACATATGACAAAATCCTAAATACAGAGAAAAATATGTAAAACGTCTTTGGCAAAAAATTCTTAATATTGACTAAAATTAAATGAAACAATTACAAAAGGCATCTTATAAAATTAGAATGAATTACAATGAATTATGATCACATCAAAATATATGAAACAGTATTTCATAACTCTCTTTGGCGTGTAGGTGTTGGTGATGGTGGTGCTGGCGATGGTGGTGGAGGTGCAGCCTAGCCCTGGAGGCTACCAGCCTGTCTATTACCCGGTACGCTTTTATGATTGTCTATTTTTAACAAGATGAAGTCTCGGTAAAACTACCATAAGGCCCCCTGCGAGTTTAGTGCTTCCCCACGGTCAATATTTATGCAAGTTACTGCTAACGATGTTAATTTTTAATATTATATAAACACATTAAATGGTCATTCTAAGTTATTCTTCAGGAGTTTAAAAATAATGTAACAAACAAGTGAAATTCTTCAAAAACAAGTAAAAATAATTAACGTCAACTTTTTCATATTAATATTACAATATTAACATGTGCAAAATATAGAGATAATACGCGTTTTAAAAATCATAATTGAGATATTTCTAAATCAAATATTTTCCTTGAATTTTATATTTTGGATGAAGTTTACACTCTGAATGAAACAAACACCTCATTCTTGGGTAAACTTTCCGCTACGTTGAAATTCTTTACGAACGTTTGAATTATTAATTTCCAGCAGTGTTAGACAATACTTTGTGCGGAATGATTTCCTTCTTTACCTAGTTCTTGGCTGGACACAAGTATTATTAATGCATTACTTATAAAGTTAATAATTTGTGTTGCATGACAATACGATAAGCGTACCTGCATGGTGACGTGTACCGGCATGGGTGACATGTACCGGCATGGGTGACATGTACCGGCATGGGTGACATGTACTGACTTTTACCGACTTGTTCAACATGACCTAGTTGAGTACTCGAATATGTAAAGACAAACAATGACTAATTCTATTGTATTCTGATTACATAACAATC